TTCGAATTTCAGTGAATCGCTCTCGATTTCTCTTCTTCTTTTTTCTTTTTTTTTTACAGTTACAGATTGAATGAGAACAAAATAAAAATATTTACTAGGATTCTGGTTTCAAATCATGGTTGGCGGATAGATCGGATGAGCAAAATTCGTGAGATATTCATAATTATTAGAATTTTATAAGATGAAAATTATATTTTATCTAATTTTTAATTAAAAATAAGTCAAAACTAAATTCATTATTAGAAAAAGTGGCATCCGAAATTAGTTTTTCTCCAAAAGTGGCATTTCAGCCATTGATCCATATTTTCGGAGCGAAGTGCTCAAATACCACTTTTACAGAAAAAATGATCTATGCTGCCATCACATGATCTAATCCCACTCTCTCATTTAAATGAGATGTAATATTACAAATTAGTCCTTAGTCAAAGTTAAAGAAATTAACCAAGTAAAAATAAATTAGTAAAAGTAAAACAAGTAAAAATAAATAAAATTAAAATTTGAAAAAAAAAAAATATTGAATCATCGATTCCTCCACCGCAGCTCCATCATCCCTGCGAGAGCTCCTCCTCCCTCTTCTCACACGGGCTCTCTTCTGGTTTCCAAGCTCCTTCCCTGAGCTTCTTCTCCCGTCATCCTTTTCGTCCAACCTAGATCGACTCTTTCTCCACTTCGTCTGACCCAGAATTCCAGTCCTCTTTCTGCCATTGTTGAAGATCTCATATTTTGAAGGTTATTTCTTCTTTTTCAATTAGAGTGTAAAGTTAGGGCTTTAGATTTGAAAAATTAGGGATCTGGGTTGGTAACAATGTATTATGGATAGATTAAGCCATAGGTTCGGTAATTTGTGAGAAGAACGTGGTTATGTTAATCAGATTCATATGCAGAACAACGAAACTCGAGCTCGAAATTCCCAGACTTTTGATAGGAAAAATGGTACAACTGGTACAACTAAGAGCGAACTGGAACAACTGAAAACTTAAGTTCAACTGGTACAAATGAGAGCTATAGTTCAACTGGTACAACTGAGTTCAATTTAGTTCAGTTGAGTTCAATTAGTACAAATGAGAGGTGTAGTTCAACTGGTAAAATGAGTTCACTTTAGTTCAACTGAGTTCAACTAGTATAACTGGTACAAATGTGAGGTATAGTTGCACTGGTACAACTGAGTTCAATTGGGTTTAACTGGTACAAGTGGTACAAATGAGAGGTGTAGTTCAACTGGTACAACTGAGTTCAATGTAGTTCAACTGAGTTGAACTGGTATAACTGTGGTACTTTGTGTTCAGTTGAGTTCAATTGAGTTCAACTGATCGATTATTTTCATTATATTTTCAGGAGAGCATAGCACCAACCACACAAACATATATTTTGACTATAGAGGGAGTTATGCTATATGATGAAGGGGAGTTGAAATGGTTTACAAGTAATTCCACATATGATATACCATTTACGAACTTATCATTAGAGAAGATAACTTACTCGACATTAGTAGATAAGATATGTAGGAAGATATGGTTGACAGAGCAGCACATAAGAACTGTTTTGGGGTCCATACTTATTAGTCAGATATAGAGTGACTTATTCTAGAATGCCGCCAGATGACTCAAGGCTGTAAATGGTATTTACAAGCTGCAAGGTTTAAGAAATCGGATGATTTCAGTGTTAAGAGTATACAAAAAGATGCATATATGCTCTCGTAGAAGGAAAGGCATCCCACGATTAATGGCATCTGTTTTGCAGTGCAGTTTGATTTGTGTGTGTGTGTTTTGTAATTCTCGGTTTTGTACAACCATGTTACACTATGTACATCTATGAATCTATATGTGTTTCAGTTTGGCGAATTTGTATGACCAGGTTTAACTAGGTACAAGTATGAATAATTCTGAGTTTTATTTTATCGAATTCGCACTTCTAGGTTCAACTGGGTACAACTATTAACGTTTATGTGTTTCTCATTCTCTGATTTGCACTACCAAGTACAACTGAGTACACGTATGAACAGTTACATGTTTGTCTTTCTCGAATTCACACTTATAGGTTCAACATGGTACAACTATTAACGATTATGTGTTTGTCATCTCTGATTTACACTTTTAGGTTCAACTGGGTACAAATATTAACGTTTGTGCGTTTGCCTTTCTCGAAATCGCACCACCCGGTGCAACTAGGTATAATTATTAATAATTTTGTGTTTTTCTTGAAATTGCACCAGCAGGTGCAACTGGGTGCAACTGGGTACAACTAATATCAATTTTAGAAATGAACTAAACAATTATTAAAGCTACAAGTGATGTGAATCAACTAATTAAGATCTATAAACACATTTTCAACTATAAGGAAATAATTACTAATATAGAGAATATTATTTTTTTTTATTTTGATACAATATCATATTTTCACATCAACCACCCCTTACAATATAAGAAAGATATCAATATTGTTAAGCCTTTTAGGATTAAAAAAAATCAAAATATTAAATTCTTCCTACATTATACTATGAAAACGTTGAAAATGATGTTTAATGGTCCAAAATCATTTGTACAACTACATCATAATAGTTTAGGGGAAGGTTCAACTAGAAATATAATAAAATTACAAAAGTACAACTATTAGGAATTTGGTTCAACTGCTTACTTGAGGACAACTAAGTTCAATTTATTTTGGAAAATTTAATAAATTTTCAGTTTTCCGCCAGCAAGAAGAATTTGCAATATTTTAATTTTATTTTCAAAAAGTCCACTTTCCCAAATGTTTCAAAACCCTAATTTTTTTTTTCTTCGACTTAGAGAGAGAGAGATAGAGAGAGAGAGAGAGAGAGAGAGATTAGGGGAGAGAGAGAGAGAGACTATTCAGAGAGAGGAGACGAGAGAGACGATTCCGAGAGAGGAGAAGAGAGAGACGATTCTGAGAGAGGAAACGAGAGAGACGATTCCCATAGAGGAGACGAGAGAGACGATTCCGAGAGAGGATAGGAGAGAGAAAATGCTTCAATTTTTATTAAAAACAAATTAAACAATTATGAAAAACCATAATTTGTCATCAGTTGAACTTAATAAAACCCAGTTGAACCATAAAACTCACTCAGTCGAACCATGTATTTTAGTTGTACCTCGTTACTTGTGTCATTCGTTGTACCTAATAAAATCCAGTTGAACTTAACAAAACCCAATTGAACCATAAAACTCACTCAGTCGAACCATGTATTTCAGTTATACCTTATTACTTGTGTCATCCGTTGTACTTAATAAAATCCAGTTGAACTTAATAAAACTCAGTTGAACCATAAAACTCACTCAGTCGAACCATGTATTTCAGTTGTATCTTGTTACTTGTGTCATCCGTTGTACTTAATAAAATCCAGTTGAACTTAATAAAATTCAGTTGAACCGTAAAACTCACTCAATCGAACTCAGTCAAACTATATTTATTTCAGTTGTACCTCACAAACATTATACTTTTCATAGTTTTCACAAAAATCCAGATAAAAAATTATATAGCTTGATGTTACTGAAGCTCCACCATTGAAAGACTAGCAAAATTAATGTTGAACACCACGATTTTAGCATTGTCCATGATAATGGTGGCCATGTAACTTGGATTCTGCTTGTTCCACTCAATGAAACTGACTGAATTTTTTTGCCTTTTGAATATGTTGGCTAGCAATCACACGACAAACAGGATCATGCTGCAAACAGAAGGAAAACTGTACCCTCCAAAAAATCATGCAAAACTTTAAATAAAAACCAAACACTTACTATAGGATCTTAAGCTGGATAAAACAAGAAAAACAAAAATGTAAAAAGCACAATACCTCGAACAATAGAAAGTTAAATGCCAAAATGCAACCGCCAACAAACATTCCCAAGTTGCTGTTCGGATCCAAAATAATCTGATCATCTTGCACAACTCCTGAATCAAGGCTCCCAAGTATTCCTACAAAAAAGGAGACGGTAGCTAATAAGACCCAAAAATGATGAAAACAAGGAAAAAAGACCTTAAGCAAGTGAGCAGCTAATCTCGTATGTCAATAAAGAAATTTAATAGATCATATGGTGAAGACAGAGAGGAAAATCGATTAGTTAAATGGTCAGTTAGCTATGCATCCATGTCTTCACCATCTTCCTTCAACTGATTAATGAGCTCTTCTAGCTTTGGCTCAAATATGTCATCGCAAGACTGCATAAAGAATATGAATCTCGTCAGGACAAAAAACAAATTCACACATCATCATTCATTGAAACCTAAGCTAGGGAGAATCGTAAAAATTAATTAAGTTGCAGAATTTATAGCCCTGAAATTGCTACAACAGCCATTGCTGAACTAAATCTAAAAAAACAAGCGGAGAATTCAATAAAGAAACTCGACACAGCAGCATAGCTTACAGTATAAGAGATATGCCAAGAAATTCACACGAATCTACAGAAATGATAGGACTAAACTTTAAAAGAGTACAGAAAAAATATCAGAAAATACAATTCAACAAAGAACGAAGAGGAAAATAGAAAACCTTAGTGAGAGAGAGCAAGTAGAGGCCGAGGCTGTTATGTTGAGAAACTGAAGATTAAGGAAAGGGAAGAGACATCGGAGCAGAAGCGCGCATCCATGGCGGCGGAGAAGCAACAAAGAAACGATGAAGCCATTGAGGAGAGGCTGCCGTCTGTGTCGAGGAGAGACTTCAGATCCGTGACGAGTTCGTAGTAAGATTGAAATTCATCGTCTCCTCCTCTTTCGATTGAATTAATAAAATGAAAAAAAAAATAGATAAGAACCGATGAAAAAAATGAGATGATAATTGAAAGAAAAAAAAAATTAGATGGATTCTAGTTGAATTAGAAGGTTTGAGTGGTTGAGCTGTGTAATATTTCTAATTCAATAAGGATTTAAAGGATATTTCCTATGTTTTGATTTAAAAAAAAAACAAAAATATATTGTAAATAAATCAATGACATATGAAATTAGTTTTTCTCTAAAAGTGGCATTTCAGCCATTAATCCATATTTTCGGGACATTTTAACTCAAATGATATCTGCTCTCTCACAGAACGGGTTTAAGCAAGTGAGGATAATCATTTTTTTTTTTACTTTAAACAGAAGATGTCTGCATTTGATTTCCCGCACATTATTATTTCCAATACTTCAAGTTTTCAACCCTAGAATTCGAAAAAATTTCCCCCAAATCCTCTCTAGCTATGTCGTCCGAGAAGCCTGAAGATCTGATGAACAATACGGCTGGAACTGACGAGGAGACTATTGCGCAGCGGAGAAAGCGGCTCCGGCGAGTGAGCTTCGCCGACCGAGAGATTACCTCCGTCCACATTTTCAAGCGGGACGAAGACTACGAGACGCCCTCCGCCTCCAAGCCGCAGAACGGCGAACACGCTGATACATCAGAGTCCGAGGACAAAGTAATTAGGTTTTTCGGCGAATTAGCCGACAGCGAAGACGGTGATGGTGAAGACGAACCTGTCGTGGAGAAATTATTCTTGAGGCCCAGAAATTCGCCGTCTTCAGGTGGTAGCACTATTGGTTCTGCTGCAAGTGATGACGGTACGCTTCAATTTTTCTTCTCGATTTTTTTTTTTTTTTTTTTTTTTTTTTTTGCATTTTGCTTTAATCGGAACCCTGAAATTGAAAAATGGAGAAAGAGAGAGTGTTTGTGCTTTACACATTTCTGCGATGAGGTTTCTTCTTAGGCTATGTAGTGAAACGGATTTTTGATCTGAAGCAATTTTGTTTCCCTTAATCAGAGGATAACTTCTTCGGACCTGTGTCTTCCCATTTTATTAACCTTGGAAGATTATCGGACGCTACAATCTCCGAAGAACACCATGAAATTACGATGGACTCGACGGCGTTTTCGATGCATTTTCGGAGTCTCGCGATGTCGGAGTCTGGAGATTTAAGGACACCTACGAGCAGCCACGTTCCGGTAGAAGAGAAAACACCGACTCAGGTCACAGGAAGTGCAATGGTGTTAACATACCCGAAGAAGCTGTTCCCGAGATCCCCTCTACCTGTTGACAAAGGAAGCGGCGGCGGAGACTCGAACGACATGAGCCTCGTCGGTGATGATTCTCGAAAATACGATTACGGGCATATCTCTCCTGCATTAGCAGCTCTATTGGGAGATGAAAGCAATGAGCTGCTTCCTGCATCTTCAGACAATAATGTGGAAGAAAGATTTCCTGTCCATGGATTTTCCTTGTCCCCTCAAAATGGATGTCAATCTTATGAAGAATCCGTAAGCCGGCGTTACACAAACGAGGCTTCGCTTTCCTCGTCAAGTATTAGAAGGGGAAGCGCGTCTCTAGTTGATGTATTGCCACAGTCTTTATCTTGTGTTACTCCTTCTCCTAAACATGGTGGAAGCTTTATGAGCAGGGAGACTCTTGCACTAGTTGAGAGCTTGTCAACAATCCAGAAAAGCAAATCCAGACTTGGATTGATTCCACCATCCCCTGCTTCTGCTCTTTCTCAGAGAATTGAGAAATTAAAGCTTCAATTATCCGGACGCCGTCCTGTGATTACGCCATCAACTATCGAGAGGGAAGAAACAGGTGTCCGACGGAAAACACTTGCAGATATCCCCATTACTAACTTGGAGGATCTGTTATCTAAAGATGATAATAGAACACCGGTTTCTGAAAAGAAAAGCACGCCAGATCAACGCAGTTTTGGTGCATTGAGCCCTGCTGTTGACAGTAGCGGTGTGTTTGCATCCGTAAGTCTAGAAGGAAACACTGTTTCTGAGGTAGAGGGTTCACTATTAGAACAACAGGAAGGAAATCACACAGCGAGTAACCCTGAGAAGATTGTGTCATCTCTAGCATATTCGACAGATGCAACGACGTCAGCATTGAGGGATATGGTTACTCTTCATGATCAAGAGCAGCACAGTAAAGCTATCAACAATTCTGAGGTAGAGGGTTCACTCTTAGAACAACAGGAAGGAAATCAGACAGCGAGCAACCCTGAGAAGATTGTGTCATCTCTAGCATATTCGACAGATGCAACGGCGTCAGCATTGAGGGATATGGTTACTCTTCATGATCAAGAGCAGCACAGTAAAGCTATCAGCAATTCTGAGACTCGCGATGGACACGTGACCAAGGATTGTGCTAGTGATTATTCTCTGAATAAGTTATCCGACAAAATGGACTCCCTGCTTGCAGAGTCTTGCGTATTAATTAGCGAGACAGGCTTTTCTAATGGCTCTGCTCAACAAAAAGAGAAAGACAACACCAACAACATCAGTGCTGCCCATTGTGAAACTGAAGTTATGTCAACTGAAGACTTTCCTACTGTAGTGACAGAACTTCCTGGTACATCTGGCTCTTCATCTATGGACAGAAGTAAGAATGAGGCTTCACATGCTAAGGTAAAATTCTAGACCGATGAATTTTTTTTCAAGAACTATCTGTTCACAGGGCAAATGGATTGCATAATCCGTTTCTGAAGTGAATAGAACTTGTTGATCTCTGAGATTGTTGTACATCTCCACATTGGCCTTTTTACACCCAACAGCTGAATGAGAGCATTCAGATTGAATTTTGATTCAGATCCCATTTAAGACATTGAGCTTTGCATTTAAGAAAATATTCAGATTACTGGAGAAGAACTATCATCTTTCAGAGCTATCCTAAAGGATCTAATGATACAATTAATGTTGAGCGAGATTTCTGAAATTTTGTAGGGTCCATCCAGATTGAAAAGGAAAGCCAAGGATGTCGATCGTGCTGCTAGAAGTTGTAGCCCCAAAGTCAGGAAAAGCACACACTATATTTCAAATCCAGTGATGGACCACCCTGACGGAAATGATGATGCCAATAACTGCCGCGTAGTTCGTGAAAAAATAGACTGGGTAGAAGTAAGTACTGTTGATAAGCTGGTATATTATTGAATGTTAGTCCCACTTTGTTCATTCAATTAAGTTACTGTTTCCACTACCTCGCAGATTCCAGGAAAAGTATCAGTAGAAATCAATCAAATGCTTGCTCCATTGGCTGATAAACTGAACTCAGGGCAGGTATATTATTTCTCTCTGTGTAAATCCAATCTGGACACTGAGATTGTTCTCCTTCTAGCTTTTGTAGTTTCAGAACTAATGTTCCAAAATTGCAGATATGCAAGCTGGAAGACATATTTACACACATGAAGAGGGTTCATTTGTGTGAGATGCTTTGCCTTCAAATTAAATCTCAGGTCCGCCTAAAAGAAAACTTTCTGCTATCATTTCTCCTATATATGTGATATGTATAAACTGATGATCTTGTTTTAATTGTAGAAAGTATGTGACGACTTGAGTGGTGCTAAGACAAAGAGGTTCTCCCAGTACTGCCTTTATATATTCACCACAATATGTTACTACCAAGAGTATAACATTCATTGTGTATACAATTGCAGGCGTGCTGAGAGTAGATCATCACTCTGCAAGTTAGCATATGAAAAAGCCAAACTTAAGTTGTTGCACCTCAAGCAAGAGATAATGATGGTAGTTACTTTGTTCCTCGTTTCCAAAACTTCATATTTATCCTGCTTGCTTGATCAGATTTCACTTACATGGCATGCAGAAAAAGTTTCAAGCAGTGAGCACCGGTGTACAAACATCTGAAACATTGAGGTTGGATTGTGCCAAGCTTTTACGCCAACATGGTTTCCATTCTACTGGCTTGTTAAATCCTGTGCAAGCTCATGAGGTAACTAGACCAGTTTGAAATATCCATTACGGGAATATCCTTAACTTTCTCACAGGCTCGGAATGGTTTTGGTAGACCTGGAAAATTTATCAGAATGATGAGTTTTTCACGGTACTGGTAGAAAATTTCTATTTGTTTACATCTCATATGTAATTTACTAGAGTCTCATGATATCTTTGTAGAGAAGGGATGTGTGCTATGGCTCCTATTATTTGTAACTTACACTTATGCCGTTTGTTGTGTCTTTTGAGTAATTGTCTCATTTTATTCAATCCAAAGATTTAATAGACTTGTTATGCATCAACATTTTTTTGTAGGTTACTACTAGCAAAGAAGCAGAGAAAACAGAGGAGATCAAAGTATTGGACTCAAAAATCAAGGACTTGATCAATCGTTTTCCTGCGTGCGACAAGATGACAGGAGAACCTGCATATGCAGACACTATTATGATTGCTGAAGATAAATTAAAAAAGAAAATGAGTTACAGATCTATACGTCAGGATATTCTGGTATCTACTGTCTTATTTTTATCGACATAGAGATCTTAAACAAAGTGGTCTTTTATTTTAATTCTACATGAATTACTCTTCTGCTGTTGCCAGGTCTGGAAAATTGACAGTTTGGGTGAATGGAATGATTGCCAGAGCATTGTTCTAAACTATAGTGACTTGATCAACCAAAGGTTGGTCCTATTGATATATAATATGTCCATAACATTTTATAAGGAATATGTTTCCTAAATTTGGCTACATGTACATGACCGCTATTGAATTTTATTGACAGGCTCACATTAAAGCCTGGCCATGCTTCATGTGTACTAATTTCAAACAGTTTGAGTGATGCATTCATTAAGGTAAGTGTAATACAATCTGTTTTCCTTCCTTACATTAACACATCATCTTCCTTTCGTTTCTAATCAACTTATTGTTCTTCAGCATTTCCCAGACATGAATGTTTCAGTGGCATTTAACTCCTTGTTTAACGCTGAATACTCCCGGAAGTATGTGGGCTCCAGTACATTGTTGGAGATTACACAGGTGGGTTTCTCTGTTACTACTATCATATCATATTATGTACTATTTCTACTATCATATCATATTATGTATTTTTCTTTCTTGATGAATATTTTTGGGGCAACGTCATGTTCCTCTAGAAGAATCACCACCATCTCTGGAATTTATTTTTGTGCTAGACCTCTGAAAATGTTGTCATTTTTGCTCTGAAAATGCAGAAAACCAGTTTGGTCTTACATAATCTACTAGACGTGGCTGAGGAATTACAGTTAGCTCGAATGGAGATACCAAATTTGATCCAAGGAAAATTTGATTCTCCATCAGGTGATCCATTTCCTCCTCTCATTTTCCTCCAATACAAGCTTATATTCAGCAATCCTTTATAACGAACTAGTTATGTCTGAGATATGAACACTAGTGTGTCTTGTTTGATTGCAGAGGAGCAGCTTCATTTGCAGATTACCTTCATTGATTGCAAAAACTTAAGAAAAGTAATCATGATTCTCGATCTGACATGCTTGACACAGTAAGTAAATAATCAAGTTTGTGCATTAAGACAAACTTTTCAAGAATTTTTGATAATTTAACTGTTTGTGTTCTCTGTTGTAACAGAGGGATATATCCTGGTGACATAGTTCCTTGCGAGTTACTAGAAGAAGTCTCAGGCACTAAAAGAGTCAGTGTTGCGTCGAAACAACTGATGAATGAGATTGAATCTGCAATGGATGGTGTTGGAGTCGGGTATCCGCGGATATTGAGACTGTGTCGTTGCGTTTCCAAATTGTTGCAATCACAAAGGAGGTGATAATCTCGTTTCGTTAACACTTTTCACATTTTGCTGGTTTGTTATGTAAATACGGCACAAGGACTCTAGCCATTTCATGGTTTAGTTTTGGGCTTTTGTGAATACGTGAAGCAGTAGTCTTCTTTGTTGTGGATGGTAAGATAACCTATAAGCATTTGTTCTCATTCAAACTTAGAAGAAAAAAAGAAAATCATTCACTAGATATAATCTAATCTGTTGACGTTTTTCTCAACCGGAACGGTTCCGTGTAGTTTTTTTAATTTTATTTTTGAACCGAATTTAATTGAGCCAAACCAAACTAAATCAAACCGAATGAAACCAATTGCGGTTGAATTCAGCTACAATATTATTAAACCTAAATAAACCGAACCCAAACCAAATCAAACCCGAACTTGAACCAAAATACCCAACAAACTCCAATAAGCAATGTCTTGGTCCCGCATGATTTTATTGCTAAACCGCACCATTAACCCTAAATTCAACTGATTGACACCTGTGTGACAACAATGCAAGCAGGTGATGGTGTAGGCCACTCTCTTATCCCATCTTACATTGAATCTATTCTGGATTTTAGCTATGGGTTTACTTTATTGCCTACCATATTCATATTGATATTACATAGTAATGTTCTTATATTCCCTTCCCAATTTGTAAATCAAGTCTTTATATAGTTATTATACACTATCCAATTTACTTCAGGTAAACATGACCCCTTAATCTCTTGTCAACACATACTCACACACACATAGATTCATCAAGACTATGTTCAAATAAGAGCTTCCATTACACAGAGGTATACATATATAACTCACAGGATATGTACATGATACATTAGATTATCTCATCACCGGTTTAAATCTGTTTGGAGAATTAACCGCGACGCAGCCTAAAGTTCCATAGTAAAAAGTAGTAGCTGTACAACAACGACAACAACGACAACAACAACAAACACTCACAAGCCCTATACAAAAGAACAAAAGTCACCAAACATTAGCAGAAGAAAGCTGCTTCTCTTCTGCTGCAGCAGCCACAACAACAAGAGGAGTCCTACACAGTGGACAAGTGATGTTCCAATAGTCTATCCATTTCTCCAAGCATGTTTTGTGAAACAAGTGTCCACATTTCAGCTTGTTGATCTCTGAATCCTCTTCGAATCTCGACAGGCACACCGAGCACTCGTTGTCCGACTGTTTCTTGCATTTGCACAAGCTCTCGAACCTCAGTGTCGGTGTTCGGTTTCTGAACTCCTCGAGGAAGCTCTCCGGGTGGTAGACCCGGAAATCGAATGGCTCTGAAGTTTGGATCTCTGAAGATGAAGCTGATGCTGAAGAAGGCGAGGATGAAGAGTGAGAGAGACGGATTCCTACTATGTGAAGGACTGATTTGACAATGCCTTTGAAGATGGAGATTGATAATGCTGTGTTAACTAAAATGATACATAGCATTCCTTCTGATGGACCAGGAAGGCTTGATAAACCCATCTTTTGAGTTCTTACAACAATGGAGTTTCGATCAAATATTTGTCTGTTGAAGGGATTTGGTCTGAAAATCACACAATTATGAGTTATTATTAGTATACAAATAAGAAAGCTCAATCAACAAACTGCAAAATCTAGGTAAGATTTTAAGACATTTCAACAAAAACTCTCAGATTGCAATGAAAATCTTGAAAGTGTAGTAGTTAGAAGTTACAAGAAGAAAAAGTATAAGAGAAACCAGAAACAAGAATCAGCTCATAGAGCACCAAGAAAATTTCAATTATGAAAAAAATTACAGAAACTTCGAGGAAATAGATTTGAAACTTGAAACCAAGTTTGTTATAATAAAGCTAATCTTATCATCGGTTTATGTAATCATCCATTAAAACAAGACCTAGAAAGACTCAACAGAGGATATTAACTAATACACTGAGAAGTCTTATCTGATCCAATAAATAAAATATTGATGAAGACAGACTAATTCTTGAATCCACATACCACAAAACCCTTTCCAAGGAATTCAAACGAGGTACTAATTGGTATTTGCTCAAAGCTAATATTTGGCTCTAAATTGAGTAACTTGGATGAAAATATCTAATGAATTCAAGATTTCACGTATCTTCACTCTAATCAAACCACTCAGTTAATAATTAAAGCTACATAGCAAAAAACATCAAGAAAGGCATAAAAAGAAGTAAAATGCTCAGAATTTAAATCCTTCAATTCTATTCCTGCCTAGAAATAAATAAAAAAAATCAAGGATTTATATGATAAGGATTCAACCTTCTATCTGGGGCCAATTACATGAGTGAAAAATCAAGGCTAAAAATTGAGGGAAAATAAAAATTTACGAACCTTGGAGTCAAGTATGAAAGACGATGGTCACCGATTAAGACGAAAGATGAAGTTTTGAAACGAAAAGAAAAGAAAACTGCGTGTGTTTCTTCTAGTGATATTAGGGGAATCTGAAAAGTGGAGATGGGTTTGTTTGATTAAAGACAATGGAGCTTCCCTTCTTCTTTCAATTGTTGTTTTATAAATAGCAAAGCACATCAAAAGCTTCCAACATCTTTTAACCAGAGAAGCTTAACTATAGTTAGTTCCTTTATTTCAGCCTTTCAGGTTCTTGGATATAACCATGGTTACTTTATATCATCAAGTGTACTTCCTTGGCAATATTTTTTTCTTTTTCTTTTTCTTTTGTTTAATAAATCATACACTCCCCCAAAATAATAGTCCATGTTTTCTAAAAGGAGTGATATTTTAATAAGCGTATATGATAGTTTAGTGATTTGTATTAGTTAGTTGTTGATATAATTCATGTTCAAATCCGTATAATACGTGTTATTATATATAAAAAATATCATAAACATGTTCATTTCATGATCAAATATCATTTCGATACTGCAAACGCAAGAAGATTTGGGTTCAAAATTCCCAAAACAAAGTTTACCAAATTAATCAGTATTAAACTTTTCTAACTCATCTTTTCAACATATTTTAACAGCTATAATTTGTAATATAATAATTTATCAGTATTAAATTTTCCTAACTCATCTTTTCAAAGTACCAAATTATCGTTATTGCCTGATTGGAGTTACGGATCAAGAATTATCACTATCTAAGTACTAAACAACACTGTTGCCAAACAAATATCTAGACTCGACGACAAAATGTAAAATGAAAAGAAGAAAAACATACAAATGACTAAAAACACAACACTCCCCACAAAAGTTTTAAAATCGTCAAAAATTCACTTTTACTCTATTGTTTAACGATCGAATCCATCGTTTTTGTTTTTAATCCAATTATGCACGTTTAAATTGATCTATGTTCGACCAATGTTGAATTCGACTTATGTTTTACTAATGAGTTACGCATTCGAAACGTTTTAAAATTTAATGAGTTTGGTGGCCACTGGTTTTGTTAGTGTCATTAATAACTTGAGAATAGTAGCTATGGTGTGGAGAGCTATGCTAAATTGCTTATAGCTATAAATACGATGAGACAATCACACAAGATACGAACCATGATTTATTAAGTATTATTCTAGCTTAAACTAACATTTGATTTTCAAATATTGTCATGCAAAAAACCGACAGAAGGGCTATGGTATTGATTCTAAAGAAAGTGTTATGAATTTGATTTTGTCGTTTTCTCAATCTGAAAAAGAAACATATCACGACAATTAGTTACATTGTAATGAGTAAACCTCACGTTGGCCACGTGTCCACTCTTGGGCCCCCATAGGACCCTGCGGGCTTCATGTTCTATAATTTGTTTTTCTCATTTACTTCTGTCTTCTTCTTCCTCCTTTTGAATTATTTTGATGTGAACACCAAATTGTAATTTGGCATTTTCTCCATATATAATGTATTGTAAGAGTACTACATACAACGCTCCACATGGGTCCGAGTCCGACATTATCGAAAAAAACATTTTCTAACCATTAAGCAAACCGCTTTACAAAACTTTCGAACGAGAGAGCTTATGACTAATAATATTGTAACTAGGTTAGGATGGCCCAAACAAAACGCAGAGGCAAACACATCCAAATAAACAAATGTTATAGAATTAACAGTAAGTTATAAACTATGAATGTATGATTGATAATTGATACTAGCTACCGTTATTTAATTGAAACTTTTAGCTGTAGTTAATTATTATAGAATGCAATTAGCATGTAGTGGCACAATGGTATTTGATCTAGGGCCAATAGTTTAAATTTGATAAAAAAACATCAGATTCGAATATACTCTGTGCAAATTTGATGTGCGGGGCACTTAATTTGTTTTCTGGTAAAATGATTAATTATATATTCAAATGAGTTTACATAACTACAATATTATATATTATATATATTATATGTTTATATTTGAGAGTAATTAACGAAATATTTGTAGAAGTGTATTTGTTGTTATGGGTGAACTCCATCTCACATATTTGTTTACTAGGGGATTAGTATATAGTGTTGATATAATTTGATGAGTTAGCCGTTTGGAACCAAGAATCAACTAAATCAACGATCAATCGGCCTTTAGAAAGACAAAGACCGAAAAAAGGTTTTTTTCGTGAAGGTTTTCTAGTGCCTAAGTTAAGAACATTTTGCCGAGAACAAATGTTCAGAATGGTGGATTTTAGATAGGTTTACGGTTGAATACTACATTTGGAGACCATAGTATCTAGTACTTGATGGTGACTGAGACGGTTGAACGATGTTCCGAAATGGAAGTTGGAACTCTCTCACTAGTAGAATATAAAATGGAGATGATCTTACTGTAAGACCAATACATTAGAAAATACGATAATAGTGATTCAATCATAAATATAAAACGATAATCAAAAATCGAATAAAATGAATTAAGGGAAAATTTTGAATATTAAACCGGAAATAACATAAATAACGAACAGAGTTAAGATCGAAATCTTTTTCCTCAACTCAAAGAATCACTGTAGTGTGGCAGGTTTAATCACGATTCGTGAGTCCCATGATACAACCGTTTAACTCCGAATCGCAACACTCGATATCGAGTCTGACGAAATTAACTTTACAAATACTCTCAAAAATTTTAATCTGATGCAATGGGAGATCGAAGGAACAATGTGCTTGTTTTTGCTCTATGTATTTGATCTCCGATTCAGGATTTTTGGATGATCAAAATGTCTCCGATTCAGGATTTTTGGATGATCAAAAGGAGAGGCTTTTGACTTGTATATATAAGGTTTATACTACTTGAAAATACTTCAAATTTCTAATG